AAATTTTAATTATTAAATTTGAATTTTATGTAAACATTTCTTAGTATAAATATGAATTTATCATTTTGTTCAATTCTTAGTTTACATTTAACAAAAAAAAAATTTTTTTGCTATCAATATAAAAAATTCTTGAAACAACCCGCGACCCGTGACCCGCGAACCGCGACCCATATGGACTCGACCCGGATGGGTCAGCAGGCGGACCTGGGTTGTAATCCAAAATTTGTGGACCGACCCGGAACCCGTAGCGAGAAGAGTTTTTTTTCACGCGAGTCGTTACCAGACCCATATGTTGGCGGGCCGACCCGGCCCAGCCCACCCGGATTGACACCTCTAGGTGGATGTGTTGGGAGCAAAAAAGAAGATGAAGTGGAGTGGGATGAGATAGATTGGGGAAGAAAATAAAATTTTAAAAGATTGGATTTGAGTATAATTTGTAAAAAAATGTTTGACATCATAATAGCAATTATTCCTATTCAATTTTGATAATGTTTACTATTTTTAACGATTAAACTAAGTGCCCGTTTGATTGTAAGGGTGGAAAATGAGTGAAAAGAAAATGAATTTTAGGGAAAGTAATTGGCTAGAAATTGTTTTACAGAGAATTGTTAATTAAGTGTATTTGATTGGTATAATTTTTCACCCAAAAAATTTTTAAATTTTGTATTCATTTGATTTTATTTTACATGGAAATTGTCCATTAAAATAATAATTTTTTTCACAATTGGTTATAAAATTTGTTTCCATTGCCAAAAAAGTTAAAAAAAAATATATATTTCCTAGAAAATCATTTTTTATCAAAATTTAGTGTTCGTTTGACTTTATTTTACATGGAAAATGTCAATTAAAGTGAAATTTTTTTCCTACCAAAATGGTGGGAAAACCAATTCACCAATTTTGAAGAAAATGTACACGTGGGAAGGAATCTTGGAAAACCAATTCCATAGTAAATTTTTGCTATCAAACAAGGTTAAAGTTGGAAAATGGAATTCTTTTTCTATTTTCCATGGATTTTAAGAGGTATCAAACAAGGCCTAATAGAATTTGACGGTAGGGGTGAATCGAACTTCAAAAAATCATACAAGGGGGGGTTTTTCGTACCTCAAATGTTGTATTCCGCAATCAAAATTTCAAATATGGAAATTTTCTACAAATTTTAATAGGTAAGGCTATATCGTACATCGTCAAATCAAATATGTATTGCATTTTCTGTTATTAAGCCTTTTTTTTTTTATTTGTTGCCTATTTGATTAGTTAGTCATGATGTTATTGTGGGAGCAATATATGCTTAAGGCATTTGATGATACAATTTCAAATTTAAGAAATATGTTTTAAAATTTTAAAAATTAGATTATAATTAAATTTTATTAATTAAGTAAATAATTAAAAATATTTTATTAATTAAATATATTAAT